GTTCCGTCAAAATGGCGTTTTCAAACACTTGGCGCAGATTACTAGTGATCTCCTGAGACCTGTAATCACCCCTTTGTCGCTGCTTTCGCTCGGATGTGCTGAACGTTGCCATCGAGTACTGACAGTTAATGACCGCTCTGTCGTGTCTGGCCTTAGATCGCGCGCCGCGGATGTCGTGCGGCCCGTAAACGGCGGCCAACACTCGAGTGTTGCCTAACTCCACATAAGCTGATCCGTCCGACTGGTCGAAGACACCGAAACTACAGCTCATTTGCCGCACTTCTGTCGGTCGCCGGCCGTCACATCTCAACCCTTCGTCCGTTAATAACTCGACGCCAGACATACTCTCGAGGAATGGTTTCGATCGAGGAGTGAATGAAGTGAACAATAATTACAATTTAAATAACTTTCAAATCAAACAAATGATAAACAAATGGTTTGAAAGTAGTTTGAAATGTGAAAACATGAGGCAAAACATGGTTTAAGTGTTTGCAACCAATGGTTGTCTTTCTCTCACATCATATCCATATTTGAGCGCATTTTTCAAATATTTTGCGCAAACAATTTAATTGCAAATTCATTGTGTGTTTCCCTTCAATGGTATTCATAGTTACCATTAAATTGCTTACAATATATTTAATCAATGCCTTAATTGTGTATTTATTAAATGTCTAATAATTATGCGTTAATATGAGGGGAATTATATGTGGGTTTAATCTAAACACTAATTTAATATATATTCATATGAATACTATATCAATAAGAATAATGTATTTATTCTTTCAATTTTGCTCAAAATTCAATGAATTTAATGAATTTCACATTTGATAAGAATTTTAAAGTTTTAATTCAAATCATTGTTATGTTAATGTGTTTTGCATTTAATTTTATACAAACACATGGTTTGCACAAAACGTTATAATTATACAACAAAATTTGTAAAAAGTTAAATTAACAAATCATCATTAAATGTAATAGTGATATGCATTTTATCCACAATATACAATCTGGATGGCCATTTAGTAACAAATTATCATGCACAATTTCTTGCACACTAACCATATAACTGTAAAGCAAACTCATCTTCAATGTAAATGTTTTGATAAATTACAATAATTTATAAATCTGTCACTAAATTAGTTAATTTTAATTAAAACAATTAATTTTAAGTAATATAAAACACAAATATGGGTAGAGTTGGGGGGAAAAGTGGTGTCGGGTGTTGTGTTGGGAACTAAAGCCCAAGTGATGGAGTGGGGAGTGGGAGGCCGGAGAGCAACACATCACTAATGCTATAACTAGAGTCTCTATTTTTCGGGAACTCCCGAATAAATTTAGTGTATAAAAACATCGGGAATTACATACCGTTAGGCATATGGGCTAAAATAGGACCAATATATATAGTTTTTATATTCCCGATNGCATATTTTGAGAAAATCCCGAAAAGTCCCGAAAACTCCCGAAAAGTCCCGAATGCTCCCGATTATGAGAAAAATAGTCCCGAAAACGCACTTTTGCCATGAAAACCCCCTATTATCATCGTTTTTCTTCAAATATTTTAATGAAATGTTAAATAAATACCAAAAACTGTTATAAAGTTCAAAGAATGTGTGATAAAGGGAGTATATGAAAGTTAAACTCAAAATATGTGACAATCCATTTCATCCTGTTTTAAAATTATATTTATCTCCGTCAAAGGCGCGCGTTCTTTTTCTCAATTTAAGAATATTATTACTGATAGAAGGCATAAATTTACAGAAGAAAATCTCAAATTTCATGTTATTATCAAATATAATTCATTTTTAAATGCATAATTATTGTTTTAATGTCAAAATTAAGTAAATTTTAACTCCCGATTTTTTCCCGAATTTGACTGTTTTATGTTCCCGAATCCCGCCCGAATTTGGGTGTTTTTACTCCCGGAAAATAGAGACTCTAGCTATAACATTAGTGACGCCAATGGTATGGATGCGTGTATTGATGGAGAGAGAGTTGACTCTCGTGTTAGGTCGGGTGTGTAGTGGAGGGGACGCGGAGTGTGCGGTGTAGTGGCAGTGGAGGCAGTGGTGGTAGTGGTGTGTGAGGTGTGCATAGAGTGCCTGTAAATGACGCTTAGGCGCAGAGCAGGGATGGCTGTGAGTAGTGTCAGTCAATATGGCTGTAGTAGTGGTGGAGTCGTCGGAGACTCGGAGTGCGTTTGTGCTGACCTTCAGAGCGAACGCCTGGATGTGAGCGCACAACACATCCATAGGTAGAGCTGTGTTACTGTTAGACACACTCTCTGTACACACTGTACACACTGTACACACTGTACAGACATACTGTACTCTCGCTGTTATAGTGTTTTTTGACGATAATATTCAATACATTTATATATATTTCATAATAAGTTGAGTGAAAGAAAAGTTTTCTTCAAAAATTCAATTCAATAATCATGTCTTCAAAGAGTAATCAAAAGCCAATTGTTGTGATTATCGATCAGTTTTGGCACCAATTGTTTGATATATTATTTTTCACAACAATTATGTAAATCACTGTTTGTTTTGATTAATAAATTGTAGAAATTTTAATATCGTTTTCTAAATACAATTCATATTATGAATGCATTTGATATCAACAAAAATGATATCAAATATTATCGACAATTTTGTCCGCATTTTAATACCAATTAAATATCGATTAAATAAACAAAATTAAAGTTAAATTTTGGTGAGTGTTTTGTGACCATCGGATCCACACATCACACGAGTCGGCAGCGATGGACATGAATGTTGACAATCCGTGCGAAGATCCCAATCCACACAACTCTTCCGATTTCGGTTTGTTTTACGTTTGGTTTTCATTCAAAATGTTTTCTTGTTTTTTATTACGAATGCATTTGAATTGAATGTCTATTAATTTGATTACATTTCAAACCATTTATTTGTTTTATTTATTTGTTGTTATGTTTTTGGATTCAATTGTTTGTAATAACAGTTGACTTAACGATAGGTTCGGCAGAATTGGAGATCGATTTGCTGTCCCGTCGGACCAGTTCTCAAAGCGATGATAACTCAATCTTCGCTCATTTGGACACCAATGACACGCTATTCGGAGATCTGGCCGACGATTGCGACGATAACTTGCCGTCTATGATGACAGACAGCTCCCGAGCCCTGTCTCTCGAGCCAATTGTGTCCATAAATCCAATCCGATTGCCGTTTGAATCGAGTCTTTTGGCGCAAACGAGTCTCGGATTAATGAAGAGTGAGACTCAATCGCAACAGTCGACGGTCACGATATCGCCGGTGCCTCCGATCCCATCAAAACGAGGTCCGGGAAGACCGCGAAAAGACGGCAAAGTTCCCATTCAGAGGAAGAATCTATTCCCCGGTCGGCCGCGTATGAGAGGACGCAAGACATTGAATGCGTTGGGAATGGGATCTAATCTGTCGGGCGGTTGTGATATTCAGTCACCGAAACTAAACCAGAGTTCGTTTAATATGGGTTCCGGACTATCGATAAAACCAGTTTCTGGCACTTCAATGCCTCGAACGCCGTCAGATTCTGGTCGCGTCGAACTCACCATATCTTCGAGTAGTTTCAGTTCGTCTCACATGAATTCAAACCAATCCATCAGTAATTCTGACGATTCTAACAATGAAAGCGAAATGAAAATGAATTCAAGAGTTTGTATTTTTTGCAATTTGACCGAAAGTTCGTCTCTTTGTTTGGGAGAACTGATTCGATGCGAACCGACGCCTGGCTTTAGTCCCGCCAAGCGTTCGGCTCGACTCCGGAGTTCTCCAGACATGGACTCTATTGGCGGCAATATGTCCTCTAATGACAACACCGACATGTCTTCTCCCCTCAAAACCGGTATGTAATTTGTAAACCATTTTATCTTATATTGTATTGATTTGAAATTGATTTGCAATCTAAGCAAATAAAGACCAGAAGTTTGCTCGAAGGGGTGCAGAGCCTCAAAAGGTGCCATCAATTCCCGGCCCATTGGATGAACTAAAGTCCATTGGTTTTAGCGACAAGACATCGATAATGAATTTGTTTGAGCCGAGCGGTCACTGTTGGGCCCACCACTGCTGCGCCGCCTGGTCTAAGGGCGTGCGACAAAACGACGAGTACGTGTTCCTCAATGTGGACAAAGCTGTCTGCGAAGGCGCTCAACAGTTATGCTCGGAGTGTAACAAATTCGGTGCGACAATTAGCTGTCACTCGAAGCCCTCCTGCAATCGTATCTATCATTACGCCTGTGCTGTCATTTGTGGCACATTTCTCGATATAAAATCCCTCTCATTGTTATGTCAATCGCATTCATCTCAAGCCATAAGTTTGTTTCCGAGTGAAGCTATTTGTTTAAAGTGTGAGGACTCTGGAGAGATTGCGGACCTATTGTTTTGTACGAGTTGTGGCCATCACTATCACGGCCAATGCCTGACACCTGCGGTCACGTCGAGCGCGAGTGTGAGGGCCGGCTGGCAGTGTCCGGATTGCAAGCTGTGTCAGACGTGTCACCAGCCCGGCGACGACAACAAGATGTTGATGTGCGACACGTGTGATAAGGGATACCACATATTCTGTTTGCGTCCAATCATGTCGACGGTTCCTAAACACGGCTGGAAATGCAAAGACTGTCGCGCGTGCGGCGATTGCGGTGCGCGCACTCCCGGCAACGGTCCCAGTTCTCGATGGCATATGAATTATTCGGTGTGCGATAGTTGTTATCAACAGCGAAACAAAGGCAGTTCGTGTCCCATCTGTCATAAGGCCTACCGTCAGGCCTGTCAGAGCGAAATGCTTCAGTGCATCACTTGTCGCAAACTTATTCATCAGAGTTGTGAACCAAAACTAAGTCAACGCAATGATCTCATTGCAGAAATCGCTAATAATTATGTCTGCAAAGTGTGCGAAACGACCGGCGCGACCGGTCCTGACCCCCGCGATGGCTTCGCCAACCTTCCCGACAACATATTCAACGCCAGTCGCGAATCATTTAATTCTTATACTGAAGACTCGTTGGGAAGCATTGATAACATCGATAACATTCTGCCCATCGGTTCTGGAGGTGAAATGACGCCAGACGTGAAGCCGTTCGCGCTTCCACTTCCCAACAATAACTCATTGATTCGACCGCCGGTTCCCATAAGTGCGGGTAAACTAAGCGGAAAGAAGAGACTGTTTGCTGGGAAGATGAGGGGCGGGAAGTTTCCCGGAAGGAAAAGAGCAAAAACTGTTGAATTTAGACGCAAAAGAGGCCCAAAAGCCAAATTCAAGCCATTCGCTGGCCCTCTGGGCTCACTGGGAACGCCCAATTCGGGAGCGATTGGCAGTTCCGCTACCAGTGGTCAAGAGTGCGAAGTGAGAGAAAAAATCAAAGACGACGATCCGGCCAATGAAAACAAAGTGATTCTCTGTTCAGTGAAAGATGAGTTTCTATTATCACAAGACTTGTGTGCGATGTGTGGAAGTTTAGGACAGGCAGAGGAGGGCCGACTCATCTCCTGTTCGCAATGCGGACAATGTTATCATCCGTTTTGTGTTAATATTAAAGTAACAAAAGTGGTTCTAAACAAAGGCTGGCGTTGTCTAGAATGCACTGTTTGTGAGGGCTGTGGTCAGCCTCACGACGAGGCCAGACTTCTTCTATGCGATGACTGTGACATCAGTTATCACACCTACTGTTTGGACCCGCCATTGGACGACGTGCCTCAGGGGACGTGGAAGTGCCGGTGGTGTGTCATATGCGTCAAATGCAAGTCCACTAATCCTGGCTATGGATCTCTTTGGCAAAAGAATTACACGGAATGCGGTCCCTGTGCCAGTCAGACCACATGCCCCGCCTGTCAGGGAGACTATCACGAAAGCGATCTTATAATCCAATGCATACAATGCAATCGGTTTGCGCTATAATTGGTTTTATTACTCGTATTTAATATTAACGATAATTTCTGCTTACAGTTGGCTTCACTCTAAATGTGATGGTATGACAACTGAAGACGACTGCGAAAGTGCCGCTGACTTTGGATATCACTGTCTCCTTTGCCGCCCAAAAGATGAATTGCCGCCTCATTTACAAGGTTTGTCTCATTTACACACCGATTGTTATTATTATTATTTTAAAATTTTGAATCTAATTATTTGTAATTCTTATGCAAACATAGCTCGAAAAGCGTTGGCTTTGCAATCAAAGCAACAATTTTTAAATCTAATGAAACAAAACAGCGAAGAAATGAATGAAAATAGTTTGAATAAGAATATTCTTCGCAGAGATTCCGATGACTCTATTGCAAGCAAAACATCACTATCTCTGACACTCACATCACAAGTCGCACAAACATCCACTTCAATGTCTGGTCCGACACCTCTCACGCCTGCAAAAGAATTACACGGAATGCGGTCCCTGTGCCAGTCAGACCACATGCCCCGCCTGTCAGGGAGACTATCACGAAAGCGATCTTATAATCCAATGCATACAATGCAATCGGTTTGCGCTATAATTGATTTTATTACTCGTATTTAATATTAACCATAATTTATGCTTACAGTTGGCTTCACTCTAAATGTGATGGTATGACAACTGAAGACGACTGCGAAAGTGCCGCTGACTTTGGATATCACTGTCTCCTTTGCCGCCCAAAAGATGAATTGCCGCCTCATTTACAGGGTTTGTCTCATTTACACACCGATTGTTATTATTATTATTTAAAAATTTTGAATCTAATGATTTGTAATTCTTATGCAAACACAGCTCGAAAAGCGTTGGCTTTGCAATCAAAGCAACAATTTTTAAATCTAATGAAACAAAACAGCGAAGAAATGAATGAAAATAGTCTGAATAAGAATATTCTTCGCAGAGATTCCGATGACTCTATTGCAAGCAAAACATCACTATCTCTGACACTCACATCACAAGTCGCACAAACATCCACTTCAATGTCTGGTCCGACACCTCTCACGCCTACTAATGGCAGATCAGTTGCACCCAAAGTTCAAACACATTTCCATTTGGTTGACGGCATATGGCTTTCCGACAGAGGTTTGAATCAAATAAAGTCACTACAAGTGGAACAACCAAAGAGAACGCGAGTCAAAAGGGGTACAAAACAAGCATTGAATCAGTTATCAAATGCAACGAAATCTGAAGACGTGGACGAAGCGGCCAAAGAGGACGACACGGGCTCTGTTGAGGACAAAGTGACAGAAGACGGCACTAATAAGACCGACGAAATCGGAGAGAAGAAGAAAAGACAGCGAAGACTTCACAAGTTAGGAATCGGAGGTTTTTCTGTCAAACAGAGGGGAAGAATGAGTACCAGTAAAGACACCGAAGAAGTGGTTGTTTCTAACGCAGACGTCGACGTGAATGGCAATGATTTGATCGGTAATCAAGACTCCGTCAACTCAGATAAGCCGCGCCGAAGACGTCGAGTGAGTAAAAAGAAAAGCCATTTAACGGACAGTTTCCCGCAGTACATGCAGGAGGCCTTCTTCGGCAAAACACTTCTCGAGACATCGCATTCAGATACCAATCAATCGGCGGTTTTGATTAATATCAACGCTTTGAGTGAAGACGAAGAACTGTTGCCAAAGGGTATAGAAAAAGATAAGTTAATTACTTTGACGCCGACAGAGATGGCGGCCGTGAAGTTACAAAAGCCAAAAGTAGAGCCGTCGAGCCGTACGGACGAACGCCCCGGAAGTCCTATGGATGACTCCCTCCAAGACGGCGAAGACTTTCAGGATCTGTTGCCACCGCTTCCACCCGATGACGAGCTGATGGATATGTTGATCAATGAGGACGGTTTGGACCGAACCAATGAATCGCTCGATAACTTGTCAGTTGACGCCAAAGAGGACGGCAATGCAAAGGACGACGCAATGGACTTATTGAGTCCTAACTTTGATTTGGGAGGAATTGTTGGCGCTTCCAGTCTTCCACAGATGGACAGCAAAGATGTCGAGGATTTGTTGTTATTGAGTCCACACAACACCGACGACAGCAATGATTTCAATGCAATATTAGGTCCGCCGTCGACTGTAAACACAGCGAAACCTCCGATACCGATGCAAATACCTCCGCCGCCACTAACATCACTGTTAGCTCCGCCTCCGACACAGAATTTAATGCCGGCCTCTTCTGTGCCGTTACCACAACTCATACATTCAAAACAGGCCTCCGTTGATAATATACCTAACGTTCCGCTACTCGATAGCCCCTACAATATGCCGTCTCCTTTCTCCGTCTCCATGAGTGATAACTCTTCTGCTCAATACAGCCCTCAAATCACTGAACCTCAGAGTCCATGGCCTTCAGACGGTGACGAACAGATGGCATCTCAGGGACAGAAGAATATGATTAAATGGGAGTCCGACGAGGCTTTGGGTCCGATGGCTACCATTTCTCCAGTTCTTTATGCAAACCTAAATCACCCGAACCTTAAGGCGGAACATCCCGTTTGGAATGACCGCATCAAACAGATCTCGAAACTGTGGCGTCAGTTACCCACTGATCAAAGACAACCATTCCTTCAAAAGGCGCGAGAAAATCGAGCACAAAATCGTATACAAAAGGCTCAGTCGGAGACACAGCGCTCTGGAAAGGAGATCAGACCGCCCACCGCTCCCGTCCCTGGCGTTCGTGATGTGGACAATGAGCTCAAGTGGAAGCACTTACAGGCCTCTCGACAACAACAACAGGTTCAACACCAACAGGTGCTACAGGAACAGAGACAAGTGATTCTTAAAACACAAACACTGGGACCCATTTCTCCTGTGATGGACCCCTCGCGACCACCTCTTATGCATAATATGCCGCCACAATCGCCGTCAAGATTAGGACCCGATTATTGCGCCGATAATATGCATACCGTGTCTCATATACAGGATATGCCCATTCAATCGCCTGTTCAGAGACACGCTCTTCAGAGTCCGTTTGTGATGAATAGACCACAAGTGCATTCACCTTCTGGTCCGTCACCCATGAGTCCCGTCATTCAGGTGTCTCGCGTTAGGCCACCAATAGATCCAAACAAACTGCCCGTTTCGAGCAAACCTATGCAATTCGATCCATACTCTCATCCGCCGAACACTTCTCGGCCTCAGCCACAGATGACTCTTCAACCGATCGTAAGGCCTGGAACTCCTCAACAAAGATCTCCGTTTTCTCCGTCATCTCCCGGTGCCGCTCACGTCAACACTTCTATTCCACTAACGCCTACGAGTGAAACGTTTCACACGCCTCCTTCCACTCCCAGACCCCATAGCAATGATCCTCATTCTCAGACACCGATGCCTTCGAGTCCTTACGGACAGCCGCAGACCGTCTCGAGTCCCTTCTCTCCAACACATAATCTTATGCCTCAAAGTCAACAACAATGCGTCGATTCGTATTCAATGCCCACTTCCTTACAAAGAAGTCAATCATTTCCTTCTGATTTTCATAACAGTCCAATGGATTCGTCAAATAACGAGTGTATGTATCAACGCATAGGTCAGAGAACGCCCGACTCTTTCAATCGGAGCATTTCGTCACCAAATAATGATCCCTATGCGAGACCAGTGCCGACACCACAACCCCCGCAATCACCTCAAAGCGAATCAATACAGAAAATGCCAGCAATTAATATGCAAACAGATATATACGCGCGACAACCTATGACTCCGCGACCGCAACAACCCATACAAAGATCACAGTTTGACGACATTTATTCCCGACAACCGCCCACTCCTCGGATGGCACAGCAGCCAGACATTTACGCTCAGCCGCCGGGAACTCCTCGACCCAACTTTCAACAACCCATTCAACATTCACCCCAACCACAGCCTTCTCCGCCGGCTTTGCAACAACAACAGCAACCACTCGATCCATACGCTTACCAACCGGGAACTCCCAGACCTGTTGCCACATCTCGACCATCTTTACAGCCTATTAGACAACCTCTTATGATGAGACCTCCGCCTCCCGGTCCCATCGATCCTTACGCTCGACAACCGGGGACTCCAATGCCTCCACCACTTCACGACCCATACGCTAAAGCGCCCGGAACTCCGATGCCTTTGAGCCCCAACGATAGACCTCAAGATGGCAGTGACTCGACATTAACACGACAACACTTAAGAGATTTGCTTCAGAAGCAACAGGTTAGACGACAACAGGGAACCGATCTCCCGCCCCGATGGCCAGGTATGATATGATTAATATTTTATACAATATAAGTGATTATAATTAATGACTTTATTGATAATATAGTTAACACTCAAATACGAGTTCCGGCCAACGATGGCATGTTTCGTCAGCCCATTCCTCCCGGAGCTATGGTTCGGCCTCGCCTTCCGAGCAGTTTTCCTTCTGACCAAGTGTTCAGACATCCGGCCGCCAGTGGAGACCCACGAATGGTTGTGCAACAGCAACGACTACAAGACCCTCGCATGCGTCAGGTCTTGATATCACAACAGCAACAACAACAGCAATTTGGTGTTAGGGGTCAGACTCAGTGGGTTCGAGTGCCCACTCAAATGCATCCCAACGCCGCTATACCCGCAGCTCAGGGCTCACCGCAACCAAGTCCTGAGATTCAATACAGTCAAGTCCTGCCTCCAGGGGCTCCCCGTATGTCTCCTCCAGGCGTCGGCCAACAGCAGAATGTTATGTACGCCTCACAGCCTATAAGACCTGTGAGAACTCAGATGTTTGTCCGACAACCGCATCCAATGCAGACAATGAATGTACAAAACAGTGATGTATTGCAAAACCAACCGATGCCTCAAATTCAAGGCTCAGAAGTGAATCCAAATATTGCGAGCACTCAACCAATCAATCCCAATGAGCCCATTAAAGCTCCGGTACAGCCCAATGCTAAACAGCCGACTACTAGTGATATTGTGAAACAACTTCAAGAGCAACAAAATCCAGAGTTAGTCGAAGAGGAATGTTCTCCCGAAGATCTCGACGACGACGAGCTCTTAGGATTGGGAAATGACTTCAATATTCTTGAATACGCGGACCCAGAACTCGATAAAGCGTTGAGTGGAAAGACTGGCGGAAAGAGTAATATATTTGATGAACATTTGGATGATTTGGACGATAAGGACGACGACGAGAAGAGCAAGAAAAGTGATGACAAAAGCAGAACAAAGAATATCGAAGCGAATGCCGAAAACAGTGATAAAAAGCCTGAAATAAAACAAGAAAACACACCAATGGTTCCAAACGTAAAACTTGTAAATCAAATACCTGTTCCGCAAAAGCCTATGAACACACGTCTCCCATATCCACCTCCGCCTCCATATCGGGGACAACAAGAGTTACCGCCTCCTCCGCCATACCCTCAACCGCCGCGTCAAATGACTCCAAATCTTATTAAACCAAATACAAGTCAATCAGATTGTGTGGAACCGCCGCCACAACTAAGAACGACACCAATGACACCACTCCTTCAGGAACAGCCGCTTCTACTCGAAGATCTTGTCGAACAAGAGAAGAGAGATCAAAGACAGTCTATGCCAATGAATACGCGCCCATATATGCCACAAGTGGTGCCCGAAAACATTATGACACAATCAGATAGTCTCTTAAGCGATGTTGAGTTCGAACGACTCAAAGCAGATATTTTGTCGGACGAACCGATTCCCGGACTGCCGATGGGTTCCAATCCAATGGCTATGCAATCATCGCAACCGCACCAACAGATGCAGACATTCCCACAACAAATGCCACCCAATCAGACTCAGGGGCCCCACTGGCAGAACATCACAGAACAGGCCTTTCAAGCACAACAACGATTGCCACAAATGGGCCCCAGAATAATGGGCCAAAACTTTCAACGATCACAAATGTATCAATCCATACAAATTAGTCCGATGGGCGTTAGAATGGCAGCCAATGTCGGGCCACCGCATCCAATGCGACCCAACGCTCCGCAGGGAATGTCAGCCATTAGACCGATGGTGAGTCTTCCGCCTCCGCCGACACCTCCCGCTGAACCGATGACAGACATGGATAGACAGCAACAACACCAGTACGAGAGTTGGCTCCACCAACAGAACAATGTGTTGTCTCAACAACAGAAGCACTTCGAGGCAGAGGTCGCCAAACTGAGGAAAGCCAAGAAAATTGTTTCCACAAAACAAAGACAATGCAAAAAGAGTGGAACAGATTTGAGTGAAATGGACCAAAACGAGTTGACTCGAGTCACACAAGAGATGAGTGCACTTCAGAAACATTTGGATCAGATTCGCAAGAGTTTAAGACATCACCAAATGTTGTCCAATGATTACAACCAAAAACGATCGAAACAGACAATGGTTGGCATTCCTCAGACAGCTATATCTCTACCCCAATCTCCTGGAAGTTCATCCATACCGTCGATGCAGACCTCTCCGCGTTCTGTTCACTCGCCTCTAATGGCTTTGGGATCTTCAGCTCCTGGAACTCCTATCGCTATGACAGGTCCGGCGACTCCACAGTCGCCTTCAATCATGAGCCCATCGCCATTGGGTCCGTCACCGTCTCCTCTGATGCAAAACTCGCCGATACCTAACCTTCATTCGCCGGCAGCGATGCCTCCCTCGCCAATGGTTCAGTCACCCCATCCGATGCCTCACCCCATGTCTGTCGACGCCAACATCAGACCCCAAATGTCCAATCAATCCGTTCATATCGTTGACGACAACAACCCATTCAGTGATGTCTATCTACAAAAGGAGAAAATGGTTATCTCTTCTATCAGACCACCACAACAAGGGGTTCCTTCTGCTGGATATCCACATATGATGTCAGCCGATGGACAACCCATTGACGAAAGACAGAAAATGTATCGTCAAATGCCTTATAACGAAGAGAACATGTCTTTTCATCATTCAGTGCCACAACAGAGCCGTCCTCTCCAACAGATGAGTCAATCAATGCCAACACAACACACGACTAGTCATTACCAGCAGTCAAACGATTCGCAAATGTTTCGGTTTCCGAACCAACACCTGATTCATCAACAGAGACCATACACTGAACTCGTTGGACAACCCTATCCCGCACAACTGCCACCAAACTATCAGCAGCAACAACAACAACAACTACAGCAACAACAGCAACAACAACACCCGCAGATGCAAATCAGACGACCGCCACCGCCTCCTTACCCGGGCTCTGTTGGGATGGCAATGTCTCAACAACAGCAGCAGCAACACCACCAACAACAGCAACTCCAACAACAACAACAACTCCAACAACAACAACAGCCACAACACATGAGAATGTATGGCTCACCACAAGTGGTGCCTATGTCTCGCCTTCCATCCCATCAAATGCATCCACGAATGCCTGAATATTCTCAAAGAATGCCTTCAAATGAATTCGAGTCGAATACGTTTGCGGACAATGTGTCGACCAATGCATACAATAACCCCGAAAATCACCAAATGGTTCAGTGCGCGTCCCGATCGTTGCCCGTCTCATCCGCTTACAGCTTATCCGATGACAATTCGTCTCAGCGGTTGTCATCGGATCTCATGTCGGGTTCTGAAGACATGTTAGAGTCGAATCCAAACACAGAATTATTACCAAATTTACAACAATATAAACCAAAAACATCTCATGAGAACGAGTCGGTCGACCAAAAGCCTTCGCTGGTAGGAGAGGCCAAGACTTCCATTGCATTCAGTATTGACGAACAGGGCTCGGGTCAGGAGAACGACGCCGGGAATGACCTTCTCTTGAATTCCAGCGACACCTCTAGTAAAGAGACTGAAGAACACAAACAGATGACCAATAATGAGATTGTTATTAAAAAAGAGATCGTGGAATCAAATTGCAGTTCCTCTCAGTCCTGCCAATGGGTTGACACCAACGTTGACATTAAAGGCGAACAAGTATTTGATTATATTTTCATATTTATATTAAATTATAATTGTGTTTATCTTCTCTTAAAAATAGGACAATAAATATTGTGAGTCTAATATTGTTGAAAAAGAGTTGTCTTCTGAGACATCCAATGCTATGGAAACGACAGAAACTGTGGAAATAAAGGCGTCAATTGTTAACAACAATATCGATGTGAACTCCAATGTGACAAATGATATGAATGATAGCGATAACAACGAAGAGGCGATGAATACTAAACAAAATGCATTACTTAAACAACTGTTACAGAACTGTCCGTCGGCTGATTCGCAGAGTAAAGCCATTGAGAAAATGATGAAAGAGACTGAAGAACAAAAGGAACAGACGGTTGTTACCAATGTTGAGATTATTGAAGAGACGGTGCAGACAACAGTCGCTTTACCTGTGGTTCAAACGGTTCAAAATGTTGTTGAAAAAGAGCCAATTGCTGTCCTCCCTCTCCCTCTCCCTGTCCTTCCCATTACTCCAGTGACTGAAACGCAACCTAAAGAAGAGATGGAAACGCAAGTTATGGTTATTCCAGAAAGCGATCCTAACATAAGCAGCGAACCCACCACTCCATTGACTCCATTGACTACACAGGCGAAGGCCACTGCAATGTCAACCGAGAAAAAGATGTCATATTTGGATATACGTAGGGCTCAGTTAGAACGAGAGCCCACTCCTCCGCCCGAAGAGATTAAGCCAAAGCGGAAGCGAATAACCAAACGAAAAGAGGCCAAAAGTCCGGACGGAATACCTGATGGCGTAAAACCGCCGACCAAAAAGCGCGCGCGAAAGGCATCTCAATCCAGAACCGATGAGGACAGCGAACTATTCTTTGCCGCATTGATGGCACAACTCAGAGCACTGCCACCGCTTCAGATACTCGAGCCGTCCATTAAACCCAATCTGAATGTTTCCCTTCCTTTTGATGTGACAGATCTTAACTCAAAAGAGTCGCCTTTGAGGGGCAGTTATGGCAATGCATTTCTCTCGTCAACCATTGATTATTACTCGACGTATCCGTTCGGTCCCAATAAAGCAGCGCCTCTCACGCCATCACTTCCAGCGAGTGCTGTCAACAGTGCTCTCACTGTCACCAATAATTACATGAATACTAACAGCTCATCGATTGGTATGCCGTCAACCAGTCGTGGTTTCTATAACGAAGAGTTCTCTAAAACCACTCCTCAATCGGCGCTTCAGAGCGCTTTTACAAACAACAGAGAATTGAATCAATATTACCGCGACTGCGATAGTCCTGACACTATTGTCTCGTCTTCTTCTCCCGAAACTGTTTTATACGACTCTCCGAGCGATACGTTTAAGAGCCTTAAATTCATTAGTCTTGACGACGACGACAACGACGAAGAGATGAAAGATATCAATAACAATCGCTCTTCACCTGACATTCCACTACTAGTCTCGATCCCTATCCGTCCCATTCCTGTATTGCCGTCATCTCTCATAAATCAAAGACGAGTTTCTGAACATGATTTCGATAAAGAGAACGCATTGGAGACAAACAATACAATTAAACCGAAAACCATATCTTCGATTCCACTCAAAGACACGGGTAATGTTGGCGTTACTCTTACGCTGTCATCGGTGGACGACATTCGGGGCATTTTGACCGCTTTGGCTAAATATCTGGACATTCCGGCGCCCAATACATTTGAAATAGTGGAACGAACCACAACTCCTCCCTCACAGAAGTTGGGTCTTTACCATCAGAAAGAGGCCATCGAATCGAGTATTGATAACACAAATACCGAAAACTTATTGAACGGAAAGATTTTGAAGAATTTTTGTAAATTCTGTGATATTGTTGTATTGAACGCTGGAATTAAGAAGAAATCGTCTGAACTCTCACTTTCAGCGCAAGAACAGCTCGAAGAGGAGGAAGACGTGATATTTTGCAGCACAAATTGTTATATGCAGTTCGCACTCTCCCATAGAGGCCTTCCTATCACTCACGAGAAAGAAGCGGCGACTGTTGTCTCTCACCGACACTCCAACGAAACGCCTATCAATGAAATAAAGTCCGAAAAACCTATTATTGTTAAAAACTCTATGGATTTATTGCCGCCAATGAGTCCAATGATGGAAGACGACGATATCAGTGATCAAGAAGTGTTAGCTATGAATTTGTCGCCAAAACTTCCTCCTCTTGTTATTGAGAATCAGTTGACGGCACCAAACAGTCTCATAGAAGTTGAAGTGGAATCGCAAATTCAAACACCCATTCAGTCTACACCTCCCGAACCGATTCCCAAGAAATGGAAAGACACTCGTTATAAGTGTTGGAATAACCAGTCATTCGATAAATTAAAGACCAAAACTGAAGACGAAGACGAAGAGGTGGACGAAGAGGAAGAAGAGGCTGGACTTCTGTTGGACAAAATGGCCATTTGTGTGAAATCTGATGCCAATAGTGCTGAGAAGCGGAAGTGTGCGCTCTGTCACGAGACGGGCGATGGAGAAGCCGACGGGCCGTCACGTCTTCTTAACATGGATGTCGACAAATGGATTCATTTGAATTGCGCCCTTTGGTCAGCAGAAGTGTACGAGATGTTGAACGGAGGGCTCATGAATGTAGACCAGGCCTGTAAGAGAGCACTCACTCTCCAGTGCATCAAATGCAAGAAAACGGGCGCATCTCTCAAGTGTTACAAACCTCGTTGTGTCAATTCATACCACTTTCCCTGCGCTCTCAAAGACCAGTGTATGTTCTTTAAGGACAAGACTCTTCTCTGTTCGCAACACTCACCCAAAACACAAAACCCCGAAGAGTTGACCACTTTTGTTGTCTATAGACGAGTGTTTGTCAATCGAGACGAACAGAAACAGATCGCATCAATGATACACATGGGAGACAACAATCTCTTAAGAATCGGAAATCTTATATTTGTAAACATCGGTCAACTATTGCCGCATCAGTTGCACGCCTTCCACACACCCAACTGTATATATCCCGTCGGCTATAAGATTATCCGCTTTTACTGGAGTTGGAGACGATTTGGAAAACGGTGTCAATACATCTGTTCCATCGCCGAACTCGACGGCAGACCAGAGTTTGTGGTCGAAATCAAAGAGGAAGGCTTTGAGAACGTGACTCTCAGAGACAGTTCTCCCAAAAATGTTTGGCTCAAAATTTTAGAATCGATCGTTAAAATGAGATCTGAAGCCAAATCTATCAAAGTATTCACTGATTATATTACGGGCGAAGACTTGTTCGGTCTCTCAGACCCGGGAGTCGTCAGAATATTGGAGTCTTTGCCCGGAATTGAGACTTTAAATGACTATAACTTTCGTTTTGGTCGCTCGCCATTACTCGAGTTACCCCTCGCTATCAATCCAACGGGTTGTGCGCGAACTGAACCCAAATTGCGGACTCACTTCAAAAGGCCGCACACTCTTCACGTGTCGACGAGTACTTCTGCGCGCTCTTCGATCCAATCGTTGAGCGGAATGGAAGTGAGCTCTCCGTACGTCAAACAGTTCGTTCACTCCAAGTCTTCTCAATACCGCAAAATGAAGAGCGAGTGGAGAAACAACGTATTCCTGGCCCGCAGTCGCATACAGGGGCTCGGCTTATATGCCGTCAAAGACATCGAAAAGCATACAATGGTTATCGAATACATCGGTCTTGTCATCCGCAATGAGATGGCCGAACGCAATGAACGCATATATGAGGAACAGGTTTGTCATCATATGATTGCCATTCAAATCACATTCATTAACTCAATTGTCTTTTAATGTATGGACAGAATCGAGGCGTTTATATGTTTCGTTTGGACGACAACCGTGTGATCGACGCGACCCTATCCGGAGGTTTGGCCCGTTATGTGAACCACTCGTGTAATCCAAACTGTGTGGCAGAATGTGTTCAAATAGACAGAGAAAATAAAATATTAATTATTGCGAACCGACGCATACAACGAGGCGAAGAAGTAAGCATTGAAATGAGTTTAATTGTTGTGTGAAAATTGTGATATTAATACATGTGTTATGTATTTGTTTGGTTACCTATAGTTAACATACGATTACAAGTTTGATGTGGAGGACGATCAGCACAAAATTCCCTGTAATTGTGAAGCACCTAATTGTCGAAAATGGATGAATTAATGCTAACTAATTATTCAATACATTGTTTTTATTTTGTAATTTTCATATCTATTATTATAAATGTCTTATTTCTTTGTTTTAAGCATTGATTTTTTATTTTGCATTTTATTGTAATTATAATTATTATTAATAATCAAAACAAAACAAAAATAATGATAAAAAATTCATTGAAAAATTGTTTTACACATATTTTGTACAGAATTTTAAATTTAACGATTAATAATCATGTGTAGGGTTTGTGTGCAATAACAGCAAAACCTGTATTTATTATGCATTATATTATTAAATATTGTAATAAAATCTATTTAATTATCATTTAATTTAATTATTTTGTTTAATATTTAATAATTCGACAAAAAATACATTGAAAAAGATGTCTAAAATTGAAGTGAAGAGTGAAAAGTATTGTACTTTATATGCATTCAAAATGTGCGCCAATTATAGGTGAGTGCTGTCAGTGAGCGTCATATCCGCCGGTTTGCAGAGCCTTCGCATCCGTTTGACTCGTTTTTGCCATTTTATGCCATTTGTGAGCAAAACCTTTGTCTCCCATATCTTGACATCCATTTCAACACTTCTTGTGACCGATTATCACAACTCCTTTGCAATCCATTGCTATTGACATCACTGGACATCAACAATGACCGGAACTCCCGTCAAGACTGAGGTAATGACCACTTGTGGCCAATTTGTGATCACTTTTTGCGCCATTGCTTTGTTATGACATGTAATGTATGATTGATTGTCTGTTTTGTTACGATTTGCGCGACATTTGTGGCCATAGAGTGACCAAAACAATGGACACGAAGAGAATGAGGACAACCAATACGAAGAGGAAAACGATATTAATATGAATGACAATCAGAACAACGAAACGAATGAAGAGAACGGCAACGGAGACAATAAGGCGGACGGCGATAACGCCAACGCCGGCGCTGAAGACGATAACGAAGAGCCCGAACAGTTCCGCAAACTATTCATCGGCGGACTCGACTACAAGACCACCGAAGACACGCTGCGCTCCCATTTTGATCAATGGGGAGAAATTGTGGACTGCGTTGTGATGAGAGACCCACAAAGTAAGAGATCCCGAGGTTTTGGATTCATTACGTACAGTAAGGCATCGATGGTCGACGCGGCGCAGGCCTCCCGACCCCATAAAGTGGACGGACGCGAAGTGGAACCCAAGCGCGCCGTTCCCCGAGAGGTGAGTGCATCTGTTTTTGTGATCCATTGACTGACACCCGACGTGACCTATGTTTAGGATTCGGGTAAACCTGAAGCTCAGGCGACGGTTAAGAAAGTGTTTTTGGGAGGACTTAAGGAAGACATTGAGGAAAACGATTTGAAGGATTACTTCATTGAGTTTGGAAATGTAGTGAACGTTAATATTGTGACCGAAAAGGAAACGGGAAAGAAGAGGGGCTTTGCTTTCGTCGAGTTTGACGATTACGATCCCGTCGACAAAATCGTCCGTAAGTGTCGACTTTCACGTGTTTTCCGGCCATCACTTCTCAATCGCTTACTTGTATTGTTAGTTAAGAGACATCACGTGATTAAAGGCAAGCGAACTGAAGTGAAGAAAGCGCTGTCGAAGCAGGAGATGGACACAATGAAGAGGAAGACTGAGGCCCGCGGATCGAACCCTCGAGGTGGTCAGGGTGGCCGAAACGCTCCCGTCTGGGAGTCAGGTCCCGGTAATTACGGCGGCGGTTACGGTGGCGGCGGATACGGCGGTCAGGGAGGATGTAAGTCGAAGCACTCATTCGTTGCTGACGTGATGTTATTTACATTTAATTCATTTGTCAGACGGCGGCGGATATGGCGGCGGTTACGGACAAAGCAATTACGGCAATCAGGGCGGAGGTTGGAATCAAGGCGGTGGTGGTTATGGCATGAGTGGGTGTTT